CCTCTGCTTTCGATCCTCCCATCCTGACTGCGTATCGATTCTATACACTCATACTATTTTTTTCATGGAAACGTGAAATAATCAGTGCTCGATGTTACAAGTAGTTCTTGTGTAGCCATCTGTGAATAATTGAAGGAAAAAAAGGTTTCTTGGTCCCTGTGAAGAAAATGCACCTGCGTCTGGCAAGTAATTCGATGAGTTTCAACAAAGGCAAAGCGCATCCCTAGGAAAAAAGCTCATTCGTAGGATAGATGGACAATAAAGTGAGCCATGTGGAAATGAAAAGGATGAGTATGAAACAATTAGTAGCAACTCGCAGGTGAGGCTGGAGTCAAAATTAAAAGTCAATTAAATTCGATCTAGCACAGTTATGCTGCCAATGGTATTTAGTTTTCTGATGGACATTGAGTGGTACTAACTTTTTATATAATAGTAACAGATGCGCGTTTGCTTAGATTAAAAACCTATCGTGTCTGGCGAAACAAATTAAACGTACAAGTGTTTTGGAAGTAGAGGAAATATAAAAATTAAAACTTTAGTCGAAAATTTAAAACTCATGAACTTTATCACAAAATACTTTGATTTGTAGAATATAAAAACTCAACAGAACTCAAAAAGATGTTTGCAACAACTATATAACGTAGTCAACTGATGGACTTAGGTTGAAGTTAATAAACAAAAAAAAATCAACGACGAAAATAAGATATAAAACTTGTAAATACTTCCACCTGCTTAAAAATGCACCTAATTCCTAGCTGAAGCTATTCACTCTTTTATCGAAGCTTTGAGTCCTCTAAAATGTCTTTTCACCTTTTTAACTCGATTGTGCCCTTTCTCTGACTCCCCCCTCCTTTTTTTCTCTTCTCCCCTCTCTATTTATCAAGCCCTGGCTTGTGCATGCCCGACCGATCTCGCGTGTCCCAGCGAAATTTACTTGCCCTTGATGTGCTTTCTCTTTTGCTCCTCCACGCCTCGATCTCGATAGACTCTATAATTATCCCATTTTATCTTCATCAACCGAGAGTGGTCAGAGCCTGTGTATGTGTGTGAACGTGTAGGGCAAGTACATAGCCCTCCCTCAGTGTGAGCAAGCGGTTAAATTGCTGCTCTGCATTTTCGTCAGTGTATATGTACATGTACCTTCCAGACGCTCTTTATTCTTTTTTCTTTTTTCTAGTATGCCAGACTCGCCTGTTTGTCAAATAGAAGGATTTGTATAGCAGCTGCTGCCACTGTTCACCGGAAATGCGTATCGACTTTTCGCTTGCCTCCTTTGTTTCACAATAAGGCTGGATCTCGCTAAAAAATTTAATTTCACTGCCCCAAATGACTCGTTACGATTTCATACTTTTTTTTGACAAGCTTATTTTTTCAACTAGTTGCTTGAATCATCATGTAGTCACATGAACGCTGCATATGCTTTCACTAAAATTTCATATAATTTTTAGCTTTTTTCAAAATAGTAGTACAACTTACCGGGTACTTGGATCAACGTTGCATACGAGTTTTCTACAATTTTATATCGTTTGATACATGGTTTTGTTAATCAGTAATATGAACTACCGTACAGTCAGACATGTGCTAAATAAATGTAGTTTTAAAAACTAGTCGTATGACTATAAGTAAACACTCTTTTAATAAGTTTTTTAACTACTGGTATGGCTCGTTGAATAAGTCAAACGAATCCTGTAAGGGCATTCATCACATTAATTTTGTTATTTTTAATACGGTATCATTCATTGTATAGTCAGACAGATACTTCATACGCACTTGTTATACGACTTGATACTATGTTGAGCTTATTTTTTAAACGAGTAGCATTACTCGTCATATAATCAAGTAGATACTGTATACGCATTTGCTGCAATTTCACAATATTTTGAATTTATTTTTTAAACTAGTGATATAACTTGTGTAGTCAGACAAAGCTGCATTCGAGTTTACTAGCTCATACCGTTGTAAACTTATTTTTGAAACTAGTAGTATGGCTCTTCGTTTGGTCAGACAGAGCTTACAAGTTTTCTACTATTTCATTTACAGGTTTTTTAAATCTGACAGCATGAATCGTCGTAAAATCACGTGGATTCTACGTACAAGTTAGCTACTATTTAACATCATGTCAAACTTATCAAACTAGTAGTATGACTCATTGTAAAGTCAGACAGAGCTGCACACAAGTCTGTTACTATTTTATACCGCACAAAACGTATTTTTTGAACTAGTAGTATGGCTCTTTGTATAGTCAGACAGATACTGTAAAAAATTTTGCTACTATTTCACACTAATTTTTGCTTATTTCTTAAACTTGTGATATGATTTGCCGTATAATAAAAAACATACTAAATATTGACTCATGTAGATTTTGCACTACTTGGTTAATATTACAGAGACCACCAAAGAAACTTTCTCATTCACAAATCACGCAATGCAGTATAATTTAATACCAACAACTCATGAAAAAAAAAAAAGAAAGACTGTGAGCTTAGTAAGTCAGTGTTACCTTCTCGTGTGACCATTAAAGCCCAATAGAATAAGTTATATAATGGATTTAGTAAAAAAAGTTTGTTTTTGTTTATTGTTGAAAAAATAGGAAACGTAACATAACGTTTACCAGAGTTGATGAATGTCTCATTAGCGCGATGATATCTTCTATGAAACTAGATATATTCAAAAATCGTACTGCTGCTTTTACGTATCAAAATAGAAAATCAAAGTATTTACGTAATTACGTATCAAAATAAATAAGTATCAAAGCACTAGCAGCGGTAAACGCGTAGGTGAGCTTTTGAGAAATTAATTACAGCTATAAGTGTATTGTACGGCTACTGACCTCATCATTTAAACATATCAAATATACATGACACACGTCTATAATGTATATTAAGAAAATAATAGTGTAACGGATCACATGCGAGAGACTCGAATGCTACTGCGAAAACAGTCTATTTGCAAGATCTATTTAGTTAACAATCACTGGACCCTGCTTCTTTTAACAAATTTGTTCACGTATAAGCTCATAGAAGTACTTATAGAACGTGATGGTATATATAACTTGATATCTATTTGTTGACTTGCATGTACCCAAGGATGGTTGTACATTAGGTTGTGGCTTTTCCGTGTGCTACAGCGTACAATATTATTTGTATCCTCCGATACAAAACAAACGAGTCCCCTGCCTCCAACTCGTATATTTATGTATCTGTGTTAAGCCCATCTTCAAATCTATGAGAATTTGAAGATATGTTTGTCCCGGATACATCAGTTCCCTCTTCATGCGCATACATTATTGTTGGTGTATTTCAAATAAACTCTTACCGATACGAGTGGAAATCTCAGAGTAGTAGTAGTCTGCCTTACGTAAACATACAATGCAACAGCTCCCACACTTTTCATGGAACACAGGAGATTTTGGCCCTTCTTTTTTTTAGCTTTTGCACTCTTCACGTCAAAGACGGCGAATGTTGTCTCCGATATTGCAACCTTTTCAGTCTAGGCTCTTGCAATTTTTTTTTTTTTTTTTTTTTTTAACGGTATTGCGTCTTTAACTTGGTGGGCTTTTCATGCACTAAAAATTATTAACGCAGCATGCATATGCAAAGCGATTTTTCAAATTTATGTAAAAAATGCTACAGCAATTCCAAAAGCGCTTTGAGAAACATGCTCTTAATGGAATATCTAATGGTTCGTGTATCTTATATTCAGATGCCGTACAACGTTTTGAAAAATGAAAATGTCAAACCATTAATTTATCAATTTCATATTTTATCCGAAAAACGATGAAATAACATTTGCAATGACTAGAACATTCAAAAATATTTACCACGAAATGTAATGGAATTTCAATCAAATTTCCGAGCAAACTTTCAAACAATATTTGCAAAGCTAAAAGAAGAAATAGCAAAAAGGTTACCGTTTCTTATCTCTATATCCTTACACCAGCCTATTTTCGCTACCTTCGAGATCTTCGAAATTTATATTTTTGCTTTTATCCCAATTCCTCGAATTCAACTGAAAACATACATATATACTTTTACTCTATCTATTCTCTCTCCTTCACCTCATTGTATTTCTTGTGTTTATCTTATCTTCCCCTCTACTTTATTCCACATCTCACATTATATATCTATCTTTCTCACTGTTCTTGCATGGATGTACCAAAGAAAAGTGCTTAGCCTTCAGCAGCTTTGTACAACTTTTCCTTTCTATACTCCGACCATAATAATATGTTACTGCCCCGGGGAAACGTTAATTTACGCGAATTATCTTTAGAGCCCGCAAAATGAAACTTCAACCCTTTAACACCATTGGCAATTTTCTTTTCTTATTTCCAGCTTTTGCCCAGCTACTTTCCGCTTTCATGCTTCCTGCCATGGACGTGAGTATCATTGTTTTTCTATATCTTGCAATGCCCAGGAAATTGAAGCTGTGAGACAATATATTTTTCAGCCCATCACTCAGAAACAGACTGCATCTGATTTAGTTCTATTTTTTACGTAATTTATAACAATAAATGAAAATAAAATATATATTATTTAATTTGTGATCAGAACGAAATTATTAAAATTCATGCTAGCAACAAACTAGATACTCTGGGTCCTCAAAAATGATGCACTTTAAAAAGATTGAGTTTTTTTCAAATCATATACTATCCTCAGAAGATACGCAGCAAGGGAATAACCGTTCTTAAAATCGGTCAAGTATTAATTTTTTGAATTAATTTTGGTTTTACGAATTGAAAATCATGGAAATATAATCTTCTAAGAAGGATTTTTCAATTTTAAAACCGTAAAAAAAGATCGAATCAAATTCAATTTCTCATAGCTACGCGGAAAATCCTTCATTTGCGGCATCACACTAGTATGCATACTGAAATACTCGGTTTGTAGTCTCGGATACTCTCGCTAACGAGAGCACAGTACCTCGGGCCTTAAAAACAAACGAGAAAGAGGAAATAGTCATAAAAAAAGCCTGACGAAGATGAATAGGAGGCGCAGTCTCACCATCATGTCGTAGCAGTAGCAGTAGCAGTAGCGTCGACAGTAGCAGTGACTTAGACAAGGAATTCATGGCTCGAAAATCTACGTTCCTTTGATCATCAGCATGGCTTTGTGCGTGAGTATATGCTGTATTTTTACCTCTCCGCCTTTTACTGCTGATTTCCCTCTGAAGCCTAGCACGCGTTCTCCTCTTCATTATAACAAGCACTGCTCCTGGAATAAAATTAATGCATGATTATGGGCTTTAGAAATGTTAGTAAAGCCCCCAAAGGCTCTAATTTGCGTCGAATCTCTCACCCACTCACTCACACACCATTGTTTTTTTTTCAATTGTATTGATAATTTGATAGTTCAATAAAATTTTATCATAAGACTAGTTTATATTGTCTACCTAGCAAAAGACCTTTGTTTGTTGAAAATTAACGTTTGTTTCATAAGTATAAAAGGCTTTTATTCTGTTTCATAACGATTGTTCAATATTTTTGTGGAAAAACCGTGGGCAACTGGAAATTCCAAGAAAATTTTATTGTGCTCAGATTTGCATGGAATGAAAAATTGTGGAAAGTATTATTTTTTCATCGTTTTCCCGAGCTCATACATTTCTCAAAAGGAGTAAGAAAGAACGAGCCAAGGAATAAAATTGTACAAATTGGAGATTTTTTTCCATTGTCAAAGACGTTAGTGGCAAATGTGTAAGGCTCTAAGATTTTTTTCGTTCAGTAACAATACTAATTTTTTTTACTGTGGAAGATGGTGAAGAAAGAAAACATACAAATATTTTTACTTCATCTGAAAGAATGCAAGTATAATGAGAAAAAAATAATACAATACCTGAAACCAATAAACTCTTCTTCGATATCAATACAATGTACTCGTTACTAAACACGTACATATATATACCAGTGTTGTTATCTCTGTTGTATTTAAAAAGCAAATCCGCAATTCTGCTGATTTATTCGATCATGTACCGAGATCTTGATCTTTAGGGAAAATTAAAAGTAAACCTTTTCATAGAATTTTTTATTTTATTTTTCAACCCAACCACCGATTACTAAATTATGATAATAGTAAAAAATTCAAAGTTTTATCCTTAAGATTAAGAATGAAAATTCTGTAAACTTAATTGAAATTTGCTAAACCAGCAACTAAAAGTTTTTAAATAAAAATTTAGAAATATCTTTATTAAAAATTGTGGATTAACGTTTTTCCACAGTTATATAAAAAAAAATCCTGTCATTTAAGTGAACTTTTGGAAGACAAGTGGATTGTCCATCCTCTACAAAGTAAATTAATCAACGCACAAAAGTTGTACTTGAAAGATTTAATTTCGCATCTTTTGAATCCAAGACAGAAAAAATCAACGTGAGATTGGATGCTGTACGAAAATTAAACTCTGATGGGCCCTTTTACTAGATTGAATTGGACGTCATGCTTAACATGGGACGAAAAAAATCACAGTGATTTTTTAAAAATAATGTATTCTACTTGCTGTCTCTTTGGACCATTTCAGAACCATTAATTACATATTATGTGTCACGCTATTGAGTAAAAATCTCTCTATAAGCACATTGTTGCCTGTATAATGCACCCTATTTTCATACTCTAAAAATTTCTAGAGAACATTTCAAAAAATAAATTGTCCTAAATTAATGGCAATACCTGCTAAATTAGAGATTTACTTCCAAATTATTTTAATTCAAAATAATAAACTTTAACCCATTGATAGCAAAAATAATCTTCGTTATTAAATGCGTATCATTCTTTCTATGACAACGTCAGACTTTATTAAGAATATCATCAGTCCATTATATTTACCTGTTGAGCAGCTCCTCTTGTCCCCCTCCATCTTCTTTCTTCGCACTCCTTGTACGTTTCCTTCTCATCAAAATCCATGAAACTTATAACTTTTTAAGTAAAAAATTCCATGCACAATGGAGACATCAAACTATTTTTCGAAGGAAAAAAACATCATCAATTAACCAACAATTGCAACGACTTGCAGCCAAAGCTACTGGCACATAAGCACAGCACCGGTGAAAATCCAAATACATCGAAATAAGCAATAAACCACAAATGTCAACAAAGACAATCGGTAATCGTGTACTGGGCCATCACTGGCAGCCAGCCAACGTCCACAACAGGGCAACAACAGAATATGACCAGAATAGCCGTTACACGTGCGCGTCTCGCGAGGGACAAATGCCGACTAGCGTAAAAGCCGAGTACACACGAGATTCCCGCCTTGGCTGGTTCAGCGGCGACACCTGAGCGCACGCGCGTCGTACCGCACTATGTACAACGCACCTTCTCTCCACTACTCTTTATACTGAATTGGTTTTGCGTTGGCGTTCAAGCGCGCACGACGGAGATACTAACACCACCAGCCACCCCAGCCCACATTAGAGGCTATAGCTTTCAAATTTCTCGGCTGGGGCACGTCCCTGTGACTCTCGCTCTCTCTCTTATGTACTAAACGCAGACGAGGGGTTCTTTGCTTGACCGCTTCCACATATAGCTGACATGTGCGACTAAATTAATTGCTAAAGGTGTTGAGCCAATGATAATGAAAGTATCACGATTATTTGGTATCCTAATTGGCAAAACGCTTACAGTTACATGAAAACAATTATGTGTTTTTCTGTTTATTTATTGATTTTGACTAATTGTGTTTACTCTAATAGTTACACTTATTGTCAAAAGCTAATGCCATATAATGTAAACATTCCTAGTTCACACAGGCCAACAGCGTTACATCAAATAACGAGTCTAAAATGGTATTTATGAGAGATATAGAGTAACGTACATAAATTAAAGTCAAATCTACACGATTTGGGCCGAAGCCAGAGTTAGTTGTTTATTCTCTATTGTGTGGTCTGACTGAACGCGGACTTGCACTACTGCCACTTCTACCTCTTGTGTGGCGTAGCAGAGATAAGCATCGAGGTAACTTCTGTCTTTGATGAATCGAGGGTGTTTTATAGCTACATAGATTCTATTGACGACTCCTCAGCTCATATTTCATTGCTTTTTATAGTAAACCTTTAAAATTCAAAACCTATACCTAGGCTTTTGAACTGGAAGATGTATTTATGAATGTACTTTTACTACAAATTTTTTAACTAAAAACTTATACTTCATTAAAATTTCATTTGTTATCATTTGTTCGGAAAAAATCTAACAAATAGTGAAAAAAGTAATCTGACTACAATCGGATGTAAATTGGTATTTAATTATAATGCGATTATTGTCTCTTTGTACTAGAGTATGCTACGACTTTGTAACGCCCACTAGTGATTTATTAAACTTTTTTGATAACTTGAACTCCACATGGCTGTCAAAATAATTAATGACAAATGTAGATTTGAACTGAGCTGATACGACATGAAAGACCTTTCGAGTTTAGAAAGGAAAGAATAGTGGTCGAGAAAAATAGAAAGTTCGAAAATAAGGGGTTGGTTGGTAGTATTAAAAAAACGTTTTGATTTTTTAATTTTAATTTTTGTTTTCAAAACGGGGTCGTAACTTTCAACGAGCCTTTGAAACAATAGATAGCTTTTTATATATTAACGTTTAGATGTCAAGAGGAAAATATAAATGTATAAATATCTTACCTTCACGCCATTACTTGATAAATTTCCAGTTTTGTATGTCTGTTATGAGAAACTGCTTATTTCAATTTATCACTAACCTGATAAACATAATCAACAGCCGATTACTAGTGCATAAAGTGACGACACACGTGCAACAAATGTCTCAGTGCAGGACTGCGACGAAGAAGCTTTTTGCACAGAAAAATAATACCAATCGAGTATATGGTATTTTAAATCGAGTTGGAGCTCTGAGCTGAAAAAAAATGAAAATAAAAAAGCGAAGCATTAAATAAAAAGCAAGAAAAAATTCGAAAGTAGAAATACACGAGCGCTAGCCTGCAGAGACAGAGCAGTGGACCAGAGCGCATCGATAAATTTTTTTCTCTCTCTTCCCTCACACGAGCGAGTGCATTTCGATGTATGTTTGCGTTGACCAGCTCTGCCTAGCCAAGTGGTGAAGGATTGTACATACGTACATGTATTTCCTCGAAAATACATCACAGCAGCCTATCCTTTGCTCTGGCACTAGTAGAAACACAGCAAGCACTGTAGACTGTACGAAAGAGACGCTTGCACTTTTTATCGCGTCCAAGTTGCACACGACCCTAAGAGTACACGTACGCGCTTGGGCTGCCATGCATATTTCCTCGCACGTTTTACTGGTCTAACGCCTCGTTTATCAGAGATGCAAACCATTCTTTCTTTCCGACTGCTGCAATATCTAGGGCACTGGCAGGGGGTGGTGCCTGACGGGTCGTATTATGGGCTACACGTCAACGTGTGTTTGCGTGTTTACGAGCACGAATCGGATCACTTCTTTCTCTCTCAACGCTCTTCTTCTTCTTCGTCCTGACTACCAGCGACTCTTGTCTAGGCTTTCGTTCGTGAATAATAAAGCAACCCTCACTTATACATATTTCAGAAATACTTGTTTTGGTGGATAAATGTGGATAGTTTTAAAGTTTCATTTTTTGTTTTGTTTTGTAACTTTTTTTCATACTAAAAAATAGACGAATTTCTCTAAAATAGATCATGGTAGTACTTAGTTGATTTATTATTGATTCCGTATCTAGTCCACCTAAATAAGCTATAGCACTGGCTTCTTCAAACATAAAAACGAACTGAGATAAACGCGCGAGGAAATATTAAAAAGAAGAAAAAAAAATGCAAAAGCTCCTTTATATTCAAGGCTGGTCGATAAATGCAGCCAAGGCGAAATTAGCAACGATATTTTATGCCCAGATGTGCGCCAAGACAGGTGCCCGTGGGAACATTGTAGGCAAGGTATGAGGAGGCCAAAACTTGCCTTGTGCACCCATAAGTCATATCGGCCTCTCTGAAATTACAAGTTAAGCTGTTTTGCGTTGCTGCTGCTATTTTTTGACATATGACACGTGCCAAGGCAACGCAAAAATGTGTAATAACATTATCAGCGAGAATAAGCTGAATGTGCTTGCTCATATTGATAAGTTCATTGATTCATTTTAGGCTGGTTGATGCATTTACCCACAAATATTTAGAGATCATAGTACGAAAAAAAACTTGAAGGGATTCCCCTAATCTGCTGCCCCTAACGAGTGCTAATCATGAAATAAGCAGATTTTTTATCAACGCGTTACGCCCAAAAAAGTTTTTTCTAATAACACGTACTTGGTGTAGTGTTGTTAAATTATTTTTTACTCGTGGATATTAACTTTGAAAGATTTTATTTGAGATAAATAGCCTAATTTTTAGAGCAAAGACAGTATTTGGTATCAATTGTTTAGACAATTTGACATAAGAAACTGAGTAATGCATTTTAAAGGAAAAAATTTTTCTTCAATACTTAGAAAAATAAAAAAGTAATAATATAGATGTATCAAGGTACAAAGGGTATACTTGATGAGGTTATGCCTGCTTGAAATAATCTAGTACAAATATAAACGCAAAGCTTAGCATCGGCCAACCAGAGTAGCAGCGAAATTAAAACTCACAAAATAAGCCCAGTACGACGAGCGCACTTTCTCCCCTCTAAAGCCCACTTATAGCCAGCTTGCGGACCGTCTTCCTCCCTGTATTTATATTTTTTTACGCTGTTTTTCTTCCACCCGTGTTGTAAAGAGGCAAACCTCGGCATTGTTTCTCGGGAAATGGGAGCTCTTCCCCCCCCCCCTCTTCCTCCCATTAATAGTGAAAAACTGTAATTAGGGTATTATCACATTACGTGCGTGGTTACGTCGCGTCTGCCTGTATTGTGTTTGTGCAGCCGTGTGAATTCAGGTACGTGTGCCAGGGCGTTTTTGTGCGAACCAAGTGCTGAAAATCGCTAGTTTAATGGCGCATCCTTTAAAACCCCCAGTTTATCAATGGGCATATTTTATAAACGTTGTTTTACAATCTGTGATTTCCTACACTCTACCATGGCTGTGTATGTCTAATATGACATCATTAGTTATAACAGTTTCAATTTTTTAGCAAATAAAATCCAAGTAAACACTTAAACTGATGATCAGACAAAATTTAGTGGCTGTAATAAAAAAATACCCTGATATTGAAAATTTAAATTTAAATTATAATAATTATTATTGAGATTGATTACGTGAAATTTCTAATAAATAACTCCAGAATTGGAACTAAGGGATTTTTGTACGGAGATGAAAGACTTTTCTGCTGCATGAGGAAGAAGATGTAAAAACAGATTCACCCCTTTACAAGTACGTTGGGCAGTTTTTACGATCTTTCAGAAATGTCATGTGGAATTGGCAATTCAATGAAAGAAAAAAAGGGTTAAATGGAAAACACGTACCATGAAGATCTAATGTGCTCAGGGCACGGAAGAAGCGAAAGGTAGAACCAGCACCTGAGCTAAAGAGATATCTGCTATATATGGAATGTGTATGTGTGTAAGAGAGAGAGAGAGAGAGAGAGAGAGAGAGAGAGAGACGACGCCCGTGTCACACGAGAAGGGGAGCACTGAAATTCCTGAGACACGGACTAGGTCACCCAGTGAATTCACCCTTTCGCTTTCGCCCGGCCGTAATACATAGTTTCCCCCTGCTCCTTCACCACCTCCACCCCAATTATATATAGTAAGTGTGTGTGTGTGTGTGTGTGAAGGTAGGTTCATGTCACTGCCTTTGGAGTGAGAAAAGTTTGCGGTGACTCGAGCTACTGTGAAGAATTCAGAGGCACTCGGGTGATCATAAAATATTTTCGCGCGTAGGTGCATCCACGTCTCATGTACTGTGCGAATGTGCTTTTTTTTATCTCTTACCCATAGCCTATCAGTGAGCAGAGCACTCCTCTTTTTTCTAAGACATTTATGTGCAAGAAACCACGAGAAAAAGTACTTTTTCCCTTTGTTTTGCTTTTTTCCCCTCTGTTTCATTTATTTAGCGTTTGGTTTTTTAACACCGAAACTTAAGCTAAGGAAAAGTATTTTTTGGTTATTACCAATAATAATTTTGGAGAACTAGCTCGATTTGCTTGTTTATATCTCACTGTAAAATTCGTATGTGCCCTAGTTTAATCCCGTTTAATGTGCATACTAAACTCAAAAAAGAAAGGCGATAGTAACCCAAAGGGTGTGAT